CAAAACGCCACAAGGACCAAGTACGATATAGGGTCCCAACGTCTTTCTTCTTTCAAGATTTCTTACAGAAAGTTATTAAACTTCATACACTTTAGTGCTTTGATTCAATCATTTAAATGGTTAACGATAATGTTGGAATACAGTAATCATTATTACCCAAGCTTGTGTCGTTTCGTTATAAAACGGTAAATCCGCAAAATGTAAAAACGTGTTGCAGTTAACCACATGTAGAGACACCGTGTGAGATTTAAAACATCTAATCGTATGTATTGTTTGTTGCTATTACTTATTAAATATTTAAGCTGTATATCTGTCTTTGTTCAGTTTGTCAAGGTAGTTAAATCAATCGTTCAAATGAAAGGAGTGTTATCTTCATGATCAGCCCTAGTCCTGTTACGTCTGACCACGAAGGTAATGGACATCCACACACTGCAGCTTCTCGGACCATGGAAATAAATGAAAGGGATGAAGAATAAATATCGCAACTAAAAAGGGATCATATCAAACAATATATTGTAGAGAAATATATGATCGGTACACTAAATAATAATTCAAATACATATATCTCAAACATCAGTAAAGGACATGGATTTTATACATGTATATGTAATGCGTAATGCACATATACATCCGAGTAAAATTTTCGTTCTATGAAATTTAAATCAATATTCACATATCGAAGTCCCGCTATATCGAACTTTTTGACTTGGTTCCTTGAAGCTCGAAATACCGAAGTTTGACTGTACCTGTAACCTGTCGACGGGGATTAGGAGAAGTGTGGACAACACCCAAATCATCGTAAGACTAAAGTCAACAAAATAGATATGGCTAAGGGTCGGAAACAAGTCTGTTCGTTCAATAGGTATCAGTCTTGCCTTCTTTATTCAATCTAAAACAGTGCCGATAACGTTGGAGGAGAAATTTAGAAATATTCACGTTTATCCTTCTGATCCCAGACGATGTCCGTAGATTCAGGCCGATACCTCAGGTTCAGCCATTACAGATGCATTGGAGTAGATTGTACAAAAGACACACAAGTGCATAGCAACTTTTGATACAGCTTTACGGAACTGGGGTCCATTTGCAAACTGACTTTGCTGCTGAAGACCGACCCTGGAAGATGGTCCGTTTTCTATCGGTAGCCATTGATATGTGATCGTTGAAAACGGATAATTTTTATAAAATTCTGTCGGGATTGCCAATATTGCGAAGTCCTCCGACTTCAAACCTTAAATTGCGAGATGTACAAATGAAAAGTATTCATATTGATGACTTATTTGACCTGTGACCTTTTGTGACTTATTTGACCTGTGACCTTTTGTGACTTATGCATTGACTGTTGACATGTCTACACATTGTAATAAGATATGCAAAGGAAAAGTATACAAAATTAATTGATATTGTAAAATTAATTGATATTGTTGACCTCTTTCTATTTGACCTTCGATGACCTTTACATTGACCTTTGACATATCTTTAAATTGTAATTAGATATGCAAAGAAAAAGTATGCGTAATTATTTGATATAAACGACTTCTTTGACATTTGGTGGCATATATATTGACCTCTGGCATATATCTGTCATTTTTTATGTGTGCAATTAAACACGTTGTAAATGGATGGAAATGGATGAAAATTTGATATTTGACCTTTCGACCTTTGTTTTGCAATTAAAAACATATCAAATTGACAAGCATTGATGACCATCATACCAGTTATACTAGTTACCTGTGTATATTCTGAGTACTATCAAAGGTGTTACAGTCTTATTGTGATACTGTTTACTTAAGAAGTCGAATCAAAAGTATGTGAATTTTCGAAGACCTCCAAAGAGCTTTTGACCAATCTTCAACACCTTCTTCTAAAAAGCATTTCTTCTATAAGAACATTTGATATTTCCACCCTGTACACCACCATACCCAGTCTAAACTGAAGGAACGTCTTCGCTCTCTTGTTATGAGAACCTTCTTCAAGAAAGGTGAACGTTGGTACAAATATATGTTTGTTAACTATACTAAAGCGTATTTCGTGAAAAATCAGAGAAACATGCAGGACGAAATCATCAAAATTATCGACTTTCTGATTGACAACATATTCGTCGAGTTTGGTAGTAAGATCTTCCAACAGACTATTGGTATACCTATGGAAACTAACTGCGCCCCTCTGTTGGCTGACTTTTTGTTTCCATACGAGGCTAACTTAATTGAAGAGCTTGCCAAAACAGGTCACAAAGACATTGCAAAGTCGTTCACATTCACTTTCAGATATATTGATGAGGTTTTTTCTTTAAATGATAAGAAATTTAGTGACCACGTCCATCGTATATATCCACCAGAACTGGAAATCAAAGACACAACAGACTCTTCTACATCAGCTGCTTATCTTGATATTTTCCCACAACGAGATCTACATGGACAGCTTTCCCCCAAACTGTGTGATTAACGTGATCATTTCATTTTCTTGTGAATTTCCCATTTCTGAATAGCGGTATCCCATGATCTCCAACATATGTTTCTTTTTACATATCACAGTTGATTCGATAATCATGGGCCTGTTTTATGGTTGCCTCAGTAATGTCATTGAGAAATAGTCTATTTCTTGTGTGATATGAAGCTGGAAGCGTGTGATGCTCGTTAGTTTGCCTCGTGGTTCCGTTGTTGTATACCTTGTTCTCATTTGAACACGTGACATTACTTATAGACTTACTTGGATTGACCAAGGTTAACATGATGAAGCGGAAGACGCTTACTCTTCCGGAACACCTTACGGATGCTTACTTTTTGCTTTTTTCCAAGTACCTTTTCCGAAGTATCCGTACAAATCTTTCCTATGTTCATAGTTTGCCCTAATTTTGAGGAATTGGAAATTGGATTATGATTATGTTTGCCATGTTGGGATTTTCTTGATGTTTTTTGTTTACTTTTATAAAAAAAAATAACTCCAATGTAAATGTTGACAAATAACTTCGAACCAGGGTTTTTCCTCTTTCTCTAGAGAAGTATTGATATCATCAGATATCACCTCTGTCTATATCATCACCCCTTTACTTATCTTTATCGCCTTTATCATTATATTCTTCGTCATAAGCCTCTCTTGCTTCATCCCTTCTTCTGTCCCATCCTCAGTTATATCAAATCGATTTTTTCATTTTGACACCATTATGACCTACTTTTCCTGGTGTTCATAAATTGTCACAGCTTTTTTGCTACAAGGTATGGAAATGAAAGGATTGGTTTTAATATCATCAAGAATTTATGACCAATATAAAATATGACCTTTTGTGACCAATCCATTAACCTAGATATACACCTTCGTGTCATCAAAATTCAATTTGTTATAAAGCCTTCCATGACATATAGTTATCAGGGTTTAACGCCCTTACAATGACCACAGCCAAGACTGTGTGTGTGTGTCACTATACAGTGACATCGGGTGTTGACATGCAACCTCCTATACGGTGACATTAGGTGTTGACATCCAACCTGGTATACAATGACAATGGGTGTTGACATCCAACCTGGTATACAGTGACATCGGGTGTTGACATCCAACCTGGTATACAGTGGCAATGGGTGTTCACATCTAAACAGCTTTACAATGACATCGGGTGTTCAGATGTAACCTCCTTTACAGTGACATCGTCTGTTGACATCAAACCTTATACAGTGACATCGGGTGGTGACATCCAACCTCATATACAGTGACATCGGGTGTTGACATCCAAACACCTATAAAGTGACATCGGGTGTTGACATCCAAACACCTTTAAAGTGACATCGGGTGTTGACATGCAATCTCCTATAGAGTGACATCTGGTGTTGACATCCATACACCTTTAAAGTGACATCGTGTGTTGACATCGAAACACCTTTACAATGACATCGTTTGTTGACATCCAACCTAATATACAGTGACATCGTGTGTTGACATCGAAGCACCTTTACAGTGACATCGGGTGTTGACATCCAAACAACTTTAAAGTGACATCGGATGTTGACATGCAATCTCCTATAGAGTGACATCTGGTGTTGACATCCAAACACCTTTAAAGTGACATCGTGTGTTGACATCGAAACACCTTTGTAATGACATCGTTTGTTGACATCCAACCTAATATACAGTGACATCGTGTGTTGACATCGAAGCGCCTTTACAGTGACATCGGGTGTTGACATCCAAACAACTTTAAATTGACATCGGGTGGTAGCATGCAATCTCCTATACAGTGACATCGGGTGTTGACATGCAATATCCTACACAGTGACATCTGGTGTTGACATCCAAACACCTTTACAGTAAAATCGGTGATTCTAACTGAAAGTGTGTGAAATTCGACTTAGTTAAATAGAAGTCGTCTGAAAAAATGTTAGGGGAGGTTCGCTATCATGTTTTATTCTCGTTTGATGAAGAGAAATGTCAAATTCTTTAATAGAAAAGTAAACATGTACGGATGAAATTCTGACCAGATCTTTTTTCGTCAGTTAGATTTTAAAATTTTAATACATTACTCAGACAAGAATTTTGTACTTTTTTGTGCACGAAAGAAGTAGACAAAGACATGTTAAAGCCATTTTGTAAACATTTTCTGACTTACTCTATAATGAACTTATTTCCACACATATATGATGTACAATATCTATTTTGGTTATATTTTATTTCGACACCGTTGTCACATGTCTATATTTGGAAATTTACATACATACTGTGCATTATTATTGTTTTTTATTTTTGTATTTTTTAGAATTTTCCTTTATCAATTAGTCAAGTATAGTATTGATATTCAAATAACAGTATTTTCCTTAAATGCATGTCGTTTTGTACATACCAGCTCACCGAAAAGTTTATTTTGAATAGAAGCTGCAAGGTCATATAACAATGAAATATATAATATAGGTAATTGAAATCCGGGTCGGGGACACGTGTTCTGACACGCACAAGCCATTCAGAACTCCTCGAAATTTTCGTAGTCTTACTTAGCAGGATCAGCGTGTTCCGGATGACTTTGACCAGCCGTGGCGTCGAGGAAGAGGTTTGTGGCTAAATGACCACAGAACTGTGAGTAATCGCTTGTGTTCGTCGTTTTTACTGTAGATGATACGACAACATCATCATTACCAGTAACAAACCTTAAGTTTTGTGTAATGTACAAGAAATACACTTTTATATAACAACAAACTAACGTCAGTGATAGACAAACGTAAAACGAAAGTTGGGGAAAGTACATCTGAAATTAGCATCATAAATAGCTGAAAATGTATTGATAATTCTATTTTGTTTTGTTCGACAGTCGAATACATGTATTTGCTGTATAGTTAAGATTCTTAATGGACAAGTGATACCAAGTACTTTCGTTTTGTATATATCTATTATTGACACAGAGATAGAAGCAGTTTTCGCACAGCCTTGTCAGTTTCTTCCAGTGAGAGATATTCGAGTCAAATTTAAGATAGAAAACATGTCGCTTCGTATAGCTTAAATTTGTCTCATTTTCTTAACCCAAACAAAACGACCTTAATTGGTATAAAATGTGACCCTTCCTTCCATTCATAACTCGGTATCTAATGTTCCCACTCCTCAAATCTTAGTTGTCTTGAACAAGTTGCCTCGGGTTCTCGATATCTACCTCCCCCTCCATATCAGTATAATATCCCTCCATTTCAATATGGTGTCCACTCCATATCAATATTGTGTCAACTGTATATCGATAGTGTGTCCCTTCATTGAAACGATCCATAACATTTACGGTATTCCTTACTTCCAAACAGGATTTTATGAAAGCACAAATTTATCGTTTAAATATTTGTTTAAATTATCTAAATAAAAAACACAGCATTCAACATGGAAAAGCAGAGAACACAACAAACAATTGAAATAGATATTTCACAAAGAACGCACATGACTGAATTTTTGTCATAGTCCACGCTTAATTTCGCTTAAAGTTCCCATTCAAGCTATGTTCGAAATGATTGACCGTTTATATTACTGTTTGAATATTTACCTTTATTTACGTACTGTATTGATCAAAGCTCAAATATAGTTCATGACTCGATAAAACTATACTTTAAAATCGCCAAATAAATGATTGGAGTTCTAATAAATATGTCCCGCATGTCCCCCCTGGACTCTGGCTTACCTAATATGAAATATATCTTTGAACTGTTACAAATGTTAGAGAGGACACTGCTATCAAGGATGACCCCGATATTGTTTGTTGAACTTATCCATTCGAATTTAATGCTTCGTTTGAAAAATGTACTTCTGGTTTAGGATATCCTTTATCCTTGTTGTAACATATATTTCTATACATGAATAACTTAATTTGTTATATAATTTTACGGGAATATGGGTTAAACAGCACAATCTGTAATATAACTGTTGAATTGTTCTGTTATGGCATTCGTAATATAAATGGCAAAGCATTGTAATGATTATTGAACTGTCTTGTTATGGTAATTATAATGGGTATAAATGACACAGCGTTGTGGTATACTTATTAGTCATTATTGTTTTAGCATTTATTATCAATATAAATGACACGTAAAAACCTATTCTTGTTCAGGCATTCATGATGAATACAAAATAACTCAATTGTCGAACTAGATGTTTTCGCGCAAAGTTGTGTGACTCAATTCGTCTTCAACGGAAATCAATGTGATCTAAAATATCGGGAAAACATCGAAAACACGCTGTCCAATACACACATACTTGCACAACGACACTTTTTATACACAAATAAAACTTCAGTTCAAGAGAGCTATGATTGTAAGAACAGATCATTATATCATATCAAGTATGAATTTTTGTTATTAAAATTATATAGCACCATACTCCATATCTTATATGGGAATTCATCACAGATTCAACACTTGGTCCATCTTCTATAAGGGTTTAATTTCGGGCAATTTATTTCAGGTAACATCGATACAGCAGTAAACATGGCGGAGGGCGGATCAAGTCTTGAACAGTCGGTAGATGGTGCCAGGAGGCAGTCCCTGGACCCCCTCTTACTGGAATGTCCTATCTGTCTAGAACAGCTGCGACATCCCAAGTCCCTGCCTTGTCTACATTCGTTTTGTCAGGAATGCCTGGGTGACTACATCTCGAAGGAGTTGTCGGGCAAGATGGCGTCGGTGTCCTCTTTTTCTTGTCCAGTATGTCGGAAGGTCATCGAGCCAATGAACCAGTCGGAGGACAAGGAACGTTGGGCCGAACAGTTTCCTACAAACAATCTTGCCGTGGAGATGATCCGACAACTACAGAAGACCGACGAGTCGATCCTATGTAAACCCTGCGAGAACAAAGGAAACATTAACGTCCCTGCAAAGTTCTGGTGTAAGTCGATCAATACTTACTTCTGTGAACCATGTAAGATCAGTCATCATGATCTGTTCCATGCAGAATGTGAACCTGAGAACATCATAGAAGGGAACAAGTCGGATATGATTAAACGAGAGACGTCGGTCAGTGGATGTGGAAAGCACAAAGAGAAGATGGAGTACTTCTGTGAAGATCATCAACTCCTTGGATGCAGCAAATGTATCATCGTCAATCACCGGAAGTGTGAGGAAGTGACGTCAGCTGAGGATTTCAGGGACAAGCTAGTTAAGACATCGAAGATTGACGATCTACTTCAGGAACTTCGGAAATGTACAGACGCCATGGAGATACTGATTAAAGATATAGGCGAACAGCTTCAATCTATGACAGATGATCAAGAAACCGCTCTGAATAGTTTAACTGACTTACGGAAAAAGATCGACGAGCGATTCGATAACTTACAGAAAGAGATTACTGACAAGCTGATAGCATCTTTCAAGGAGGAGAAAGAAAACCTCGACATATCGAGACAGAAATGTGAACGGTTGATGGTCTCTATGCAGAATACACTGAAGTCATCAAAAGACGCCTTAAAGGACGACACCGTTGGAACGATCTGTCTGTTCCAGAGGGGACGAGCGGAGGTCGAGTCCTGTAATGAGCTCGTACTGGAGTTAGAAAAGTCATCCAGGTCTACAAATCTGAGACATGAATATGACCCGGATATACTCGCCATCGACACCAAGACGAGCTTTACCATGGGAAAAATAGTCGTTCATCAACAACAGAGGAGATTTCCGTGTACTGCTTACAGCACCCCGTTATCAGAACGTCAGCTGAAAAAGACGGAAAGGATCGATATCAGAGTACCTTCAGACAAGGAAGACTGTCACGCGTTGGGAGTTGTTCTTCTCTCTGGTGGCCGTATTGTTGTAGCAGACAGGAGAAATAGAAAGGTGAAATTATTTACTGAAAACGGTGATTTTCATTGTGAGGTGGCATTGACTGGTCAATCATGTGACCTTTGCCGTATTGATGACACCAGTGTGGCAGTGATGGTGGTAACCTCCCACACCATTAGTATTATCACCGTCAGAGATTTAACCCTGACTGTCTCGTCAAACATCACGATTCCTAACATCAATGAACCTTGTCTTGGTATCACATACAACGTCGACTCTTTTGTTGTCGGAACACTTAAATCACTTTACAGTGTACCGAAAAGCGGCGGCAAAGCTACAAAACTTCATACGATTAAATCAAATTGTTTACACCTCGGCAGTAATGTTCAGAATGGACACGTCTTCGCTAGCATTTACACTAGTACTCCTGATGATGTAGCCGTGACCCGACTGATTGAGGGTACTTCTACAGACGTGCTAAAGATCGGGGTCGTGAAGGGTACAACAGGGATAGACGTAGACAGGGAGGGCAATGTGTATGTTTGTGGATATAATTCTCACAACGTCATACAGATGTCTGGGGAGGGAACCAACGTCAGGGAACTAATGACGTCATCAGATGAACTGAAGCAACCACGGGCGATTTCCGTGTTGGGTGATAAACTAGTGATTACAAATGTCTCATCAGACCAAAACAACTTTGTACACGTGTTTCAACTGGTGTGAATGGTAAAAGACAACATATGTTATATCAACATGTAATATAGATTATATATATGATTCCTAGAACTCCATCCTTAGAAAAGCGAGAAGAATCTACAGCTTTTAAAATATAGGCGGTCAACAGCCCTCGAAGAAATGAAGAAATGGACAATCTACCACCTTCCCCTCTCAACAATGGATGGAACTAACTTGATTGTGTTTAAAGGTGTTTACGGAAAACGGTGATTTGCATTGTGAGGTGGAATTGACTGGGGTATGTTTTAACCTTTGTCGTATTAATGACACCAGTGTGGCGGTGATGCTGGCAACCGCCATCATTTGTATTATCACCGTCAGAGATTTAACCCTGACTGTCTTGTCAAACATCACGATTCCCAACATTAATGAACCTTGTTTTGGTATCACATACAACATTGTTTTTTTGGGACAGAAAGGTCACTTTACAGTGTACCGAAAAAACGGCGGCAAAGTGCAACAGGTACAGACGAGGACTGGGAGGGCAATGTGTGTGTTTGTGGATGTTATTCTCACAACGTCATACAGATGTCTGGGGAGGGAACCGGCGTCAGGGAACTAGTGACGTCATTGGATGAACTGGAACATACGAGGGCGATTTCCGTGTCGGGTGATGTGCTAGTGGTTACAGAATCAGAATGGACAGAACTGCGGACCAGTATACACGTGTTTCGGCTCGTGTGATGTGATGAACTACGGACCAGTATACACGTGCTTCGGCTCGTGTGATGTGATGAACTACGGACCAGTATACACGTGTTTCGGCTCGTGTGATGTGATGAACTACGGACCGGTATACACGTGTTTCGGCTCGTGTGATGTGATGAACTACGGACCAGTATACACGTGCTTCGGCTCGTGTGATGTGATGAACTACGGACCAGTATACACGTGTTTCGGCTCGTGTGATAGGATGAGATGTAGAACCACAATCCTTATGGACCTATACCCACAGTTAAAATATCATTTACAGATAACGGGATTTGTACTTTACGTGCGGCCAAGGTACAATTAGGTAATCTTAGCACCCTTCCAACCACGTATCTACGAGGATTTGTTTTCAAAAGATTGTTTCTATTTTGGCGCTAGGATTTTCATTGCCCTAACAACAAAGCTAATGGTCAGTCAATATACTGGTCGCTATCACATGTTTGGACCAATACCCCCAAACTCGATGACCGGTTTTATATCATACTAGGTTCCTCATATCAAAGCAAATCTGTATAATTTCCAGATTTCTTACTCAAATGATGTTTTCAGTATGTATGTAGTAAGATTATTCTCAGACCGCTGGACAGAGCGTTCTGATAGATAGGTAATTGGTCTCAGACCGATGGACATAGCGTCCTGATAGAGAAGTGCTTGGTCTCAGACCGCTGGACATAGCGTCCTGATAGATAAGTGCTTGCTGTAGGATTTTGTACACCTTTTGTTCAAATGAAAATGCATAACACATTTTAAGTGCCCTAACATTTAAATGAATGATCAAATAAATAAAATATATGAAGAAATAGTATAACTCAGGATATATCTGATCGTTAACAGCTCTTTATTTCTTCATAATTTTTTCCCTGTGTGGAGCGTGTTTTATTGCAGTTATGCCCCTTTTCCATCTGGTAATACATCGCCCGATCTTTCCCGGGCACTGCTGTCGGGATTGGGCTTATATTTTACAGGAGTTATGCCCCTTTTATTACGTGGTACGACAGTCTACGGAATCTTGTTCGGACATATCCCGTTCATAACTTACGCATCTCCTTTTCTTTCTAGCTCTAGTTTTTTAAAACTCTAGTCAGAAGTAGAAACTATTGTTTTCTGGGGCGAGTTGACAAATTCGAGGTCTATTCGACCATATTCAAAGTAATATTTTTCATGTGCATTACACTGGTGATTTTTTTATCAAAGATTCTGTTAATTGTAATCATACATTCATTCATTTTTACAATGAATTTTCTTATTTTTTAATCAAACAATGCCATTTTTAGAGTGTGGCGGTAAGCTCGAAGTGTGACACGATTTTTTTTTCATTACAGTACACAACGTACCGAGATTTATATAAAACATTTTTGATATTTTAATCACCATCTTTTGTATCACAGTTCCAGATGATTTTGTCCTCTATTAAGGGCCTTTGACGACCATCGGCCGAAGGGATTATCGAGACACTAACATTAACGCTACCGTTCTCTATTTTAGTTTATAACTTTGTTTCTGTTTTATGTTCTGTGTATGTGATGTCATCTATGTAATATTTGTGTCTCGATAAAGGGACACTTGTCCGTACTGTTTCTATAACTTCATTTATCATATATCTATTCCAGTAATAAACACCCAACAAACATTTGATCCAGTACCAACATTGGACCATCGATATGACTTACTAGATTATATATATATATATATATTTGTGCGTGTGAGTGTGTGTGAGTGTGTGTATGTGTGTGTGTGTGTGTGTGAGTGTGTGTGAGTGTGTGTGTGTGTGTGTGTGTGTGTGTGTGTGTGTGTGTGTGTGTGTGTGTGTGTGTGTGTGTGTGTGTGTGTGTGTGTGTGTGTGTGTGTGTGTGTGTGTGTGTGTGTGTGTGTGTGTGTGTGTGTGTGTGTGTGTGTGTCTGTGTGTGTGTGTGTGTGTGTGTGTGTGTGTGTGTGTGTGTGTGTGTGTGTGTGTGTGTGTGTGTGTGTGTGTGTGTGTGTGTGTGTGTGTGTGTGTGTGTGTGTGTGTGTGTGTGTGTGTGTGTGTGTGTGTGTGTGTGTGTGTGTGTGTGTGTGTGTGTGTGTGTGTGTGTGTGTGTGTGTGTGTGTTTTCGATGTACATGAATACAAAAGCAGGATGTTCTCAGTATTGGAAGAACAGATACTGTCGTGATGTCATCAATTTTTTGAGGTTATTTTAAATATGTCTATATAAACTAACATGACTGACATCCATACTTAGTGTCCCTAGATCATACCATATATCGACAGGTTACAAGTTACGCTAACTAATTAAAAATTCAATAAACAGATTAAAAGAGTCTGTTGGAACTACGCATGCAGCTTAACATCATACACGGGATAAAACGGAAATGAATTGATAAATACCACAGACTAAAAACAATCCTTACAAGCCTTCACAAAAACCTCTAGAGTGTATCGAAATTCAGCAGACCGCAACGGACCTAGCACGTCCGAATTCTTAAAAGCGACTAGGAATACAGGGACAAAAAGAACACTGTATTCGGTAGCTTTGTTCATGTGACAACCCAGGCTTGCCAGGAAAATCACACTTGGCTTCGTTTTGAAGACGTGTTGAAATCCTGCTTTTGTATTCTATATATACCACAGGAAAAAATCTTTTCAAACCATTACTTTCAAAATACAATATTTTAAGAATCCTTACGAAAGCAACAGCAAAGAAATGTCGGGTATTACATTTTGTAAATTGTAATAATCCAATTCGGTTTCCACAAACCCGTTCAACTGATTGCTTTTAATTAAATTTAGAAAATATTATTGTATATCACGAGAAAGGTAACGTTTATTGCACGTATGTAAAACAGATCCACTACACCAGAACCTTCAAAATGCTTTATTTTTATCTTATTGTTTTTGCGAAAATATTGCTATATAGTTGGTTTCTTAAAACTTGAATACCTCTCAATAGGTTGCTTTTATTCGTTGCATTGAATTTTAAGTGGAACAGCACCATGTATGTTAATGCTTCTACACCAACATACACGACTTCAGGAAAACAATATGAGAAATACGCCTAAAGGAGACGGTGGGAGTGTCTTTATCTCAAAATGGAACGTTTAAACGTCACTAAATGAGTTATTCAAATATCCGGTCTACGCTAGATCAGATACTACATATCATTTTTAAAAAAGTAATTAACAAGGACTAGAAAGGTTAGTTTTTAATTTGCGAGTGATTGGAACATAAATAAATGGAGATTTACTTATTACCTTTTCATTTTCTTTTACACCTTGTTTTCATTATTGTTTAACTATTGTGCGTGTGCATGTGTATCAAATACATATGTTACAGTTGTATTAAATTTGTATTGCTAAACAATTACTATACAGATATCCACCCTCTCCTACTTAACCACGGTTACAGATATCCACCCTCTCCTACTTAACCACGGTTACAGATATCCACCCTCTCCTACTTAACCACGGTTACAGATATCCACCCTCTCCTACTTAACCACGGTTACCGAGATCCTATTTGTCCTACATTGATCACGATAACTTCTACATTAACCTTCCCTAACAGTGACATTGACACTCTATCTCACCTATCCCACACAGTGGCGACGACGCAGAATCGCGACACTACTGAAAAAATTGATTGGTGAATATGCTGCCTAGCTTTCACTCTATAGAGATACCCGATGTAAATATTCCAATATCGATATTTTGACGTGTGTCCTAGTAGAGTGTCACTATTTTGTAACACCTTTGTCGTTAGTAGGAAGATACATGGAACGGTTCTATTGGCTAGATTTTAACTACACGTGAAATGGAATTAACTTAATGTCTGAAAGAATTGTATAGAGCTGTTCATGAAATCTTCGAGCTGTCCTATGGAGATATTTCTGGCCGTTTTTGTCCAGTTTCTTACAGGTGAGTGATAAAAGTCCCCAAGTGGTACCTGTATTATCACAGTTCACAACATGGTACCTGTATTATCTACAGGTTGAGTGGTACCTGTATTATCTACAGGGTGAGTGGTACCTGTATTATCTACTGTGAGAGTGGTACCTGTATTATCTACTGTGAGAGTGGTACCTGTATTATCTACAGGGTGAGTGGTACCTGTATTATCTACAGGGTGAGTGGTACCTGTATTATCTACTGTGAGAGTGGTACCTGTATTATCTACAGGGTTAGTGGTACCTGTATTATCTACTGTGAGAGTGGGGTACTACTGTGAGAGTGGTACCTGTATTATCTACAGGGTTAGTGGTTCCTGTATTATCTACAGGGTGAGTGGTATCTGTATTATCTACAGGGTAAGTGGTACCTGTATTATCTACTGTGAGAGTGGTACCTGTATTATCTACTGTGAGAGTGGTACCTGTATTATCTACTGTGAGAGTGGTACCTGTATTATCTACAGGGTGAGTGGTACCTGTATTATCTACAGGGTGAGTGGTACCTGTATTATCTACTGTGAGAGTGATACCTATATTATCTACTGTGAGAGTGATACCTATATTATCTACTGTGCGAGTGGTACCTGTATTATCTACTGTGAGCGTAGTACCTGTGTTATCTACTGTGAGAGTGGTACCTGTATTATCTACAGTGAGAGTGGTATCTGTATTATCTACAGGGTGAGTGGTACCTGTATTATCTATCTACAGGATGAGTGGTACCTGTATTATCTAATGTGAGAGTGGTACCTGTATTATCTACAGGGTGAGTGGTACCTGTATTATCTACAGGGTGAGTGGTACCTGTATTTTGTACTATGAGAGTGGTACCTGTATTATCTACTGGGTGAGTGGTACCTGTATTATCTAAAGGGTGAGTGGTACCTGTATTATCTACAGGGTGAGTGGTACCTGTATTATCTACAGGGTGAGTGGTACCTGTATTATCTACTGTGAGAGTGGTACCTGTATTATCTACAGGGTGAGTGGTACCTGTATTATCTACAGGGTGAGTGGTACCTGTATTATCTACAGGGTGAGTGGTACCTGTATTATCTACAGGGTGAGTGGTAACTGTATTATCTACAAGGTGAGTGGTAACTGTATTATCTACAAGGTGAGTGGTACCTGTATTATCTACAGGGTGAGTGGTACCTGTATTATCTACTGTGAGAGTGGTACCTGTATTATCTACAGGGTGAGTGGTACCTGTATTATCTACAGGGTGAGTGGTAACTGTATTATCTACAGGGAGAGTGGTACCTGTATTATCTACAGGGTGAGTGGTACCTGTATTATCTACTGTGAGAGTGGTACCTGTATTATCTACTGGGTGAGTGGTACCTGTATTATCTACTGGGTGAGTGGTACCTGTATTATCTACAGGGTGAGTGGTACCTGTATTATCTACTGTGAGAGTGGTACCTGTATTATCTACAGGGTGAGTGGTACCTGTATTATCTACAGGGTGAGTGGTACCTGTATTATCTACTGTGAGAGTGGTACCTGTATTATCTACAGGGTGAGTGGTACCTGTATTATCAACAGGGTGAGTGGTACCTGTATTATCTACAGGAGTGGTACCTGTGGTACCTGTATTATCTACAGGGTGAGTGGTACCTGTATTATCTACTGTGAGAGTGGTACCTGTATTATCTACAGGGTGAGTGGTACCTGTATTATCAACAGGGTGAGTGGTACCTGTATTATCTACTGTGAGAGTGGTACCTGTATTATCTACAGGGTGAGTGGTACCTGTATTATCTACAGGGTGAGTGGTACCTGTATTATCTACAGGGTGAGTGGTACCTGTATTATCTACAGGGTGAGTGGTACCTGTATTATCTACAGGGTGAGTGGTACCTGTATTATCTACAGGGAGAGTGGTACCTGTATTATCTACAGGGTGAGTGGTACCTGTATTATCTACTGTGAGAGTGGTACCTGTATTATCTACAGGGTGAGTGGTACCTGTAGTATCTTCTGTGAGAGTTGTACCTGTATTATCTACTGTGAGAGTGATACCTGTATTATCTACAGGGTGAGTGGTACCTGTATTATCAACAGGGTGAGTGGTACCTGTATTATCTACAGGTTAAGTGGTACCTGTATTATCTACAGTGAGAGTGGTACCTGTATTATCTACAGGGTGAGTGGTACCTGTATTATCTACTGTGAGAGTGGTACCTGTATTATCTACTGTGAGATTGGTACCTTTATTATCTACTGTGTGAGTGGTACCTGTATTATCTACAGGTTAAGTGGTACCTGTATTATCTAATGTGAGAGTGGTACCTGTATTATCTACAGGGTGAGTGGTACCTGTATTATCTACTGTGAGAGTGGTACCTGTATTATCTACAGGGTGAGTGGTACCTGTATTATCTACTGTGAGAGTGGTACCTGTATTATCTACAGGGTGAGTGGTACCTGTATTATCTACAGGGTGAGTGGTACCTGTATTATCTACAGGGTGAGTGGTACCTGTATTATCTACAGGGTGAGTGGTACCTGTATTATCTACAGGGTGAGTGGTACCTGTATTATCTACAGGATGAGTGGTACCTGTATTATCTACAGGGTGAGTGGTAACTGTATTATCTACAGGGAGAGTGGTACCTGTATTATCTACAGGGTGAGTGGTACCTGTATTATCTACAGGATGAGTGGTACCTGTATTATCTACTGTGAGAGTGGTACCTGTATTATCTACTGTGAGAGTGGTACCTGTATTATCTACTGTGAGAGTGGTACCTGTATTATCTACAGAGTGAGTGGTACCTGTATTATCTACAGGATGAGTGGTACCTGTATTATATACTGTCAGAGTGGTACCTGTATTATCTACAGGATGAGTGGTACCTGTATTTTGTACTATGAGAGTGGTACCTGTATTATCTACAGGGTGAGTGGTACCTGTATTATCTACAGGGTGAGTGGTACCTGTATTATCTACAGGGTGAGTGGTAACTGTATTATCTACAAGGTGAGTGGTACCTGTATTATCTACAGGGTGAGTGGTAACTGTATTATCTACAGGGTGAGTGGTACCTGTATTATCTACTGTGAGAGTGGTACCTGTATTATCTACTGTGAGAGTGGTACCTGTATTATCTAAAGGGTGAGTGGTACCTGTATGAGTGGGTATTACTACAGGTGAGAGTGGTACCTGTATTATCTATGTGAGAGTGGTACCTGTATTATCTACAGGTGAGTGGTACCTGTATTGATTGTGATGTGACCTAGAGGTCATTTGACGTAATTTTGATTGTGATGTAACCTAGAGGTCATCTGACGTAATTTTGATTGTGATGTGACCTAGAGGTCATCTGACGTAATTTTGATTGTGATGTGACCTAGAGGTCATCTGACGTAATTTTGATTGTGATGTGACCTAGAGGTCATCTGACGTAATTTTGATTGTGATGTAACCTAGAGGCATGCACACATAGTTGCGCACAGCTGGGGTAGGATTCCTACCCCAGATGGTCGCTTCCCGGCTTTGATTACACTACCAGTACACCCGGTTTCAGCTCTAGAATAGTTTAACTGAAGTCAAAAATTGATTCAAGAAGGAAATTCTGAGATATCATACCCTAGAGTTTATTGACAAATTAATGACAGACACAAAACCAAACCTAACAGCAACGGTTCTCGGTATGCTTTGAATAATTAAGTCACGTTTTTCAATCCATACTCGCCCATATTTGGCGGTGAAGTAATTGTGAATTATTCATCAGTAGAAATATGAATATTTCCTGATGAGATTCTTTGCTTTGCATTTTACACATTCTACAACATAAAATTGTGTAGTCTGCTTGTAACGTACTGTCTTACACTGCATCAATATTATTTAAAATGGATCCGATACGCATGACTGATTTTCAATGATAAAATAGTTTCCTTACGCTATGATTCACTCGTCTATAAATAGACAAGTTTATATGATAGGCCAAGAGTACAACAGAAAATTATTTAATAAACACGTGGGTTTTGTTTTATGATTCTAGAGAACGTAACAAAATCTTCCTACCCGTGGTCATCGTGTAAATAAATGTAATGTTTATTTTAATTAACTTTACATGTATAATGATTTGGAGAAATGCCAATATGTAATTAAATATGTTTATCACCGTTAACTAATTTAAATATAGATCATCATTGATGTTGGCGCGGGTTGACATAACTTTTGTATATCAGGGCAATGATATATTCTGTTCTGAACAAAGTGTTTGAAGTTTTTTAATGTCTCAGGAGTTATTTTGGGGAAACATCTATATGCCATTTATATGTTAGCGACATCCAACACAGTTCAGCGTAAATGTCTTATCTGGTAATACTACGTTCACCCCTGGGAATCCCAGTGTTTCGTTTTATGTTTTTCTATAACTTTCAGACATAGAAATAAGCATTTAAATCGGGTTGACATGCCAAATATAAATAGCGAATGGGCCGACCGCTGATTATAAGAATAAACTTTATTGATTTTACAACAATTGCGATATTTTCCCAACTTATATTAATCAGTCTTGCTGGCAGCGTGAGGGGTCTTACTGTTGTAGGAATCCGGAGCACCCGGGGAAAACCCACGTGGTCGGGCAGGTGACCCCATATCCTTTAACATCCTTTTCGGGAATCGAACCCAAGACGATAAGGTGAAAGGCGAGTGCGTTACCATTGCGCCACCCGATCACACATATACCGCTGTAAATAAACTTGGAGCAAACACACCTAGCTCACTCTTTAAAGCATTTCATTTAATCCAAAAGGTTATCAACAACTTAACATAATTTCAAAATTTATTGTAGTAAATTGTCATTCGTTTTGTATCGGGACTTGTCTGTACCAATCGGCGCGGGTTATTGGTTAGAACGTCCGCTAGATAGCGGAGGTCCCGGGTTCGAACCCGGTCTGTTTTTACTCTCTTTTCATCAGTGGTGCCTGTGGCGATACTATGGGGATATACTTGACTCTGCATATTGGGATGTCTTCGAGGCTGAGAGTGTGGATCGGTGTAAATAATATTGTGAAACTAGAGCTGTCGTCTTTGGCAAAGTAACTCAATTGCCATGAACAACTAAATGACGTAAGTCAATCCTGGATCCTACTCCCGGTCTGACTGTTACATTTCCGTCCTCTTGTTAGAGTTTGCCATTGCAGCACTTAGATTTCAATATAACTATTTTATCAAGCTATAAATCCATAATCTAACCTTTTACAAACTAAAATGCCAGTAGATACAGAACAGGTACAGTTACATCAATGGCAAAACAGTAGGCAACAAATATCTTTTTCTAGGCAAGAAATTGTAATATTATGTCTCCCTTAGCAATTTCTAGCTTCTGACCTTAGTATTGGGTGTTCGTCATAGCACAGAACTCGTCCTTCCTTTAGACGTTCAGGTTCGACTCCTGGAACAGACGTGAAAAGGTAAGGGGTCTCCTGCTGAGCCTTGTGGGTTTTTTCCGGGTCCTCCAGTTTCCTCCATCCGGTGCCAACAGGAGTAATCAAAGTAAGATGAAATGATTTATTTCGCAATTGTTGCAAAATAAATAACAATTGAAAATTAAAAACAAGTGTGGTGAAATATAGTACGCCATTCTTGTACTCTCGGGATCTTTGCTGTTGCACTGAGGGAACACAAATTCTGCCAAGTGTTCTGTCCGATCCCTTAAAAGTAAAAATAATAGCAAAGATGTAATAAATTTCCGAGCAATATTTTTCTTTTTCTTGATTGGCTGATTCGATATCTAACAACGTACATTTTACTATATTTGCATATTTAGAAAAATAGTTAAAACAGAGAATATCCCTCAAAACAATAGTTTTAATACTGTGCAATGTATTTATTTTCGACAAACTGAACTTCGTACATTAAAGAAACTAAAGTTTTCGGGAAATCGTGATCAGCGCCAGTAAATGTTAAAAGAAAACATTGTTTGCACGCAACAATGCAAGGGGCGATAAGAAACACCAAGAAAATACCAACATTGTAAAATAATCATAATCCATACTCAAATTCTATAAAACTAGGGAGAAATGTAACCAAAAGAAAGATTTACACAGATGCTACTGAAAAAGTACAAGGAGAATAAGACCAGGTGTTCCGGAAGTCTCTTCTGCTTCATCGACGTCACCCGCCATGTAAAACCTTGGTCAATTACCATATCACACAAAGAAATATATTTCCCAATGAGATCATTCAAGCGATCATAAAACTATCCCATAATTTTCATCAACCATCATCTTTTGAAATTCAGTGTTACGAAATCAAACGAGCTTTAACCCAACCCCCTAAGCGACAAAAAGGGGAGAAGAATCTCGACCAAGGAATTTTTTGTAGCCTTCTGTACTGTTAATGCTGTCTGTAACTTTACTGTCGTAAGGTCGCCAAACTCGGAATAAAACAAAGCCCCTGTGATAACAGATGCGAAGCAAGTTATCCATATTTAATAGCGATGTATAGACCGGTTATATACACACCGAATCAATATGAGACACTTTTCATCATAGAAACGCGGATGGAATCGCTGTCAAAGATACGGGTAAAATTGTTAAACCTCACAATCATTATTCACTCATGAATATTTACAGTAGTTCTGGTATGTGAACTACTTGGTTCACTCATGAATATTTACAGTAGTTCTGGTATGTGAACTACTTGGGGAAGGAGGGGGGCATTTGAGATGGGACCTCATCTATCGACATGTCTTTGTCTTTAATGGATAGATTAATTTTTCATTAGATATTCAAAAATATTCACCGAACCATAACTTTACAAGTATCAATAAAGAGGACAAGGTTGGTGGTGTGTGGTCATATAGGATAAGAAAATGATAGGAGTGTTGCACGGTATACGTACAATAAGGTACAACTTGATTTTGCTAACCTGAAGCGTTTCGTATGGAGAATGTGTTGATATTTATGTTTACTGGATCGAGTTTTTTAAAATTATTATTTCATTTGGAGAGGAAATCGATAATAACATGACAACACCGAATGAAGTTTGACGTTAATTATTGATAAAAGTATTACGTACAATACAACTTGATTTTGATCTTACAGTCTCTTTTAAAACTCCATGCGTAACCCTATTGACCTGAATATTCGTTAATTCTAATGTTATTATATATAAACCGATATTTTGTTGATCGGGACACGCCAGAGACTATATATATAGTGAATATCTGTCTTTATACATTTGTAACGAGGAAAAAAAACAAGTTCAAACCCCTATGCTTATATCATGCATACTGGAAAAATTGACGTCACGTGATAATGTCCAAGTAGGATATGCAATACATACTATATGTAGGCACTGAACGTACAATTGTATGGGACATAACGATATTTACATTTAGATATAGAATTCTAAATATGTAAACTAAAATCCTTTGAAAGACGTGTTTTGATCAGGTGAAACCATTGTTTGCTTTCTATACAATACTTGTCATAGAAACAGAGTTATATATCCACTCAAATCGCACATCGATACTGGGACAGGAAAAAAATCAATAACTTAATACAGAGCGCCAGGTACATTACCTCTGGTGTCAGTACTTGCTATAGGTATATGCTGACGCTCTGTTTGCTCCTGGGAACACGAGAACAAGTGTGATAGTTTCCTTATCATTGTGGTTGATCGATCAGTAATATTTTAATTGTAGCTGGTTTGTTTTTCTGTTGAAGCGAGTTGTCATCGATCTGGTTGATACCTTTCACAAAATATGATCGGTTTTCTATACACAATTAAACTATTCTACTAAGATTTTGTTACATTGCTTATATAGCCGTTCCAGTGTCAATTAAACTACCTGTCAGTAATATAGCCATTTTAACATTTAATATATCCTTTAAATCCTACGAGGTTAATAAAATTGATCTTAATTTTCTTGTTAATGATCCTCTGCTGACTTCCATGAATCACTCGCTTTATTTAACAAAACATTGCTGACTACATCCGTGCATTAACAATTAACAAACGTCACCTAAAGGCTTGCTTCTCTCGATGTCCTTATGACATGCAACGGACCTCCCGTATGTTGTTCAGTGAGAAAATCACCAGTTACTATAAATAGACCAGCCTCGGCATGACCCTGACTGTAATTGGGGTGATTAACTTCATTAATTTGAGGACAAGGGCGCTCAAAATCGGTTGCCTGACAAATTATCCTTGACAAAGATTTTGCGTTTAAACAGCTGCAGCGTTAGCCATTTCGTAATGTCATAATTTGAACAATTGAATAACGCGGAAATGTTAGCATAGATCATTGAACGAAATTTGTGTTAGAATAATAATATGAAACTAATATAATACTAAAACAGATGTGTAGTACAGTATGTAAGGGCGTGACAAATTATAGAGTGGCATTATAATACAGTGTAGGTTTGCTTGGAATTTCAAATAATTTCAGTTAGAATGTTAACAATTATAAGATATTGTCTCGAAGATCAGTTTGTATGACATCTGGTCGGATCACGTGATCTTAATTCCTGACTCTATGATATCTTCTTTGTTGACAGTTGTCTATTGCAACAACACCGAGGTTTGTACTAATCTCCATGACGAATTCACCTGTGAGTACGGTTGCTGTGGTGACTACCGCAAGGAAAGATGTTGTTCTTTTGCCGGAACAATAGTCGGCATCGTTGTAGGCGTGGCTCTATTTATTGGCTTTGTCGCAGGACTCATCTACTGCTACATTAAAAAAAGAGGTCGAACCGGCCCCATATTCCCGTGTGGGCCAAACAGATCTGCAGCTACCCAGGGGGCACAAAACCGTCGACAGCCCGGACGTGTGACTGTCATACAGACCACGCATTGTTATAACGCAGGTTGGTAGACTTCCGGTTCCGGTTTGTAATGTTGAAACCGCATTTTTCCATCATTTCGTTTTCTATCCCAGATCAAAATGAAATAGAATTAGTCACAAACGAACCATGTTTATTGTTCAGTTCAATATGACCTTGACTTTATCTATTAATGCTGTGCATGTTAGATTTTGTGAATTTGAATATATCTATTATTTTCATTTGAAAAATATTAAAATTCTCTCGGTAGAAGAATATTTTTCCGTGATAGAACTACATTTAATCACAAATAATAATAATAATAATAATAATAATAATAATAATAATCTTAGAGAAAGACATCGATTTGAAAAACAAACCAGATTTTCATAATTTTCGGGAAGGTACACATTTAATCAAACCACCCTCGATTGTATGGGTTTTCTAAGTGATGGAAACTCATTTAATTTAAACTCAGTAGGAGAAAATACGAATAGAAAGTCTCTTTGATACGGAATAATATCTAGAGCTAGAAATCCACAGATATAAATTTTCTTACAGGTAGAAACCCTCTGAACGATACAAATACAAACATACGTTTTTTACTGTCAGAAACTCTTTGAAAGATATCACTTTCCTTAATGGTAGAAACTTTAAAATATGACAGAGCTCACGTAATGGTTACGGATGACGGTGAATTTAAGATATCCATTTGACAACATTAGTATGAACAAAAGACATGAAGTTCTACTATTTTATGCCTGTCTGATATTCCCTGAGTAGAATCAAACGGAATACAAAAATGACATCATTTCCATGCATGTGCTGTTTTGGAAACTAATTAATTTATTTTATTGTTCTGATGTGCATATCTGAAACCTTTGTCAACATTCACGACATCTTTACGAGCGGAACCGATGTAGTTATTGTAATGTTGTGATCACGTATGAATCACTATGAAATGCGTTTCAACACGTCCTGGTAAAATATTTATCTCTGATTACTTTCTCTGTTCTTCACATCTAAAAATATACACAACGCTGGATTCAAACGTGGGAGTTCAAAGGATTCCAAGTCATTTACACATTTACATATAGTTGTATATTGATCAGGGTGGATCCACATTAAATAAATACTGTGTGAGAAAGTCAACAGTGAAGTGGATAATTATCAACGACACCTGAAAACAAGAGCTTTGACAAAAACATGATACTGACCTTCTTTCTAACGTAAAACACGCGACCTTATTTCTGACGTAAAACACGCGACCTTATATCTGACGTAAAACACGCGAACTTATTTCTGACGTAAAACACGCGAACTTATATCTGACGTAAAACACGCGACCTTATATCTGACGTTGACACACGCGACCTTATATCTGACGTAAAATGCAAAAATACATTACGGTACCTTACATTTGATAAACGCTTTAATATTGAACAGTAAATTTACGTCTGACGTAAAAAATGAATATTAAACGGTATCTTGTATATATGTTTGAAGTTTAAAAGTCTCAAGAGTAAAATGCAAATGTATTATTATTGAAATAAAACACAGCTTTAAAACTTTTTTATTAAGAAATTTGTCTCACATACAACACAGAAATAAAAAGCATTCTTTAAATTCCGAATAAGATATATGTATTAATGTTGTTGTTGTTGTTGTTGTTGTTGTTGTTGTTGTTGTTGTTGTTGTTGTTGTTGTTGTTGTTGTTGTTGTTGTTGTTGTTGTTGTTTACAGGCAGAGGCAGGCGAGGAATACACACTTCCGTGGCTGGATATGAAGGATTCGTGCCTTACTCCGACAGCAATGTGCCAACCGTGAAGCCTCCCCTACCCCCAGCTTACGAGCCGGCTCTCCCTCCCCCTCCTCCGTATTCTGCAGTCAGTGGGCGGACAAGCACGGGTATCAGTACCGTCGAAAATTACAGCCCCGCCCACACAACACCGCCCGTTTCCTGACCTTTGGATCCCACAGCTTTGAATTTTGGATTTAACAAGCAGTATTAAGAATATATGATTTTGGTAAACATCAGGCATATGTCCGGAGAGATGTGATAATTACTTTTTTATGTCATAATCACGTGACCCCGGAGTTGGTATTCTATCATTATCGACCTTGTGGTGTAGAGTATAGCTCAAACCCAAAGAGTGTATGTAATTTTTAAAGTTTCAAACTTCAGATTGTATCGAATGAAAAAAAATCTATATTTGGATCATGTCGACCTTTTCTTTCACCTTTCCATTCCCAATTCTAATTTCTCTTATTCTAAAGGTACCTTGACCACGTTTTGCTCTAGGAAATTGTTATATAGGATATAATAACACTGCAATTCATCATATCACTATCCAATTAACGATGAAACAATACCCATAACAAATTTCTTTGTTTTCTATTTCACATGTGTAATATGACCTAGCGGTGCCTTGATTGGCTGAAAAGATCCCCAATGTTTCCATTGTGACGTCATAACTCCATGTAGGCATATGCATTGTGGCATCACCAAGGAAAGGGACGTGCAGAAAGAATACCTCTGATATTAATATCCTGTATCAGTAAAAAATGCTGATTTCACAAAATTATCTCGGCTATGTGAAAGCAATTTTGCATTCATTTCCATTTAATTAGGAAGAAAATTCTCTAAGGTGTTCTTTAGCCTTGCTTCAGCACATTGTAAAAAATCTAAAGTTTTCTAAATCTCATAAGAAATGGAAGTGAATGAAAGACCCTTTACGATCAGATAATATTTGAGATGTTTCAGAAACAATAGGTCCCATGGTAATCCAGTCCTGATAATTGTCATAGATGTATATGTTATTTTAAGATACACTGTCATGTTAAAATTTGACCTATTCCCATTAAACATAGGACGGACAATTAGGTTTGAAGATTGGTGTGCTTCGTTAAAATCTCAATTTTGATTTTTTTTTAAATACTTTTCAATAGGTATTAGTTTGAATACGTCCATATATGCTGTACAGATATGTGGTTATCGTAATTATGCCCCCGGCTCGTAAGATCATAACTTCATGGTGTCATTAAGTACTGCATCGCCATATTTGGCATGTGTTTCCTGTGTGAAAAAAACATTTCCGGTGGTACCAAAATTTTTGACCATGTGACCTTGACCGACAAAAAACTTCATTTGAAAGTTGAAAAAAAATAATTACCACAAAAAAGACATAACTGTTTCATGAGGTGTGCATGCCGTTAGCACGTGTCTTACACGGTACAGTTTTAATGTCCATCTTCAGAATTTTGTTGCAACCGGGGGCATAGTGTTTCACAAACACATCTTCTCTTTGTATATTTTATATTAGTTTCACGGTTCTTTCATTACTTGCTAGCAACAGCCATCGGTAAAACATATGAATCAGGTTTAATAATATGGATGTACGTTGTAAATGATTTCGTGAATCATTTACCGAGGTGTTGGAACACAGAATAGAAAAGTTGATTCTTAATAATAAAATCATATTTCAGGCATATTAATATCTGTAGCGTGTGTTTCCGTCCATCTTTTTATGTCTATATCACCGGAGATGTTATAGGACTACATCAATTACTTTTCAATGTTTATAAAACAATAAAGCTTATCTATTTTCTAACAGATTTGTTAATTAAGCGTATCAGAAACCACTTCAGGTATTGTAAGACCATGTGTCCCAAAAGGTTAAACGTCTTCTGCTTTATCGACGACATCCGCCGTGTAAATCTTGGCCAATCTATGTGAGAAATTCTGGAATAAAGGCAAGCTAAACAACAAAGCAACTGCGAGGCAGACGAACAAGCGTCGATCACGTCTGACTTCATACCGCTCAAGGAAAAACACTTTCCTATAGAAGTCACGGCGGCGACTATAAATAAGCATTAATTAGCGATGGACCATATTGTAAGCGTGTGAGATTTGAAAATAATCGCACCACGAAAATGGAGTGGTGTAAGACTTACAAATAATAGCAACGCCAAATTGGAGTGGTGTCGGGCTTGAAAACAATAGCACCGCGAAAACTGGAGCGGTTCGAGGCTTGAAAATAATACCATCGCGAAAACTGTAGCTATATTGTTTGCATTCAACGCAAGATGAAATGACAGCTTCACTGCGTTATATAGGCATGTTTTTTTTCTAATACATTGCTTTGGTATGAATTTGCATTAGTCACACGTGAGGCTTTGCTATCATTAGATAATTCTTTCTTATCCAACTAATCATTACTAGTTTGTAGGGATAATGGTTCATGGAAATATTTTGAAGATGTCGAGATAGTATATTTTAGATATTACTGATGTTTTACCTAATAACAACATACTGTGCAGTGCTAGTGTCGGTTTGTAGTACGTAAAAGAAACCTCATAGGGATTCTTTACAGCTGTTTGTAAAGGTTGTGATTTTATATAATAAAATAATACATTAACAAGGATTTGTGTTTCATTTCTGAATAAGAACAATTTAAAGAACCCTACCACCAGGATGCCGTCCTTACAGAGATTCATAGGTTCCAATATTTTGTCCAATCGACAAGCGGCCGATTGCAACGCCAAAGTTTGAAAAACTAGAAAATGTCTGTAAGACATGAATGCCCCCGCCCCCCATGTGAAATAGTGAAAGGTCCGAATGAAGTTGTTAGGTGGTATATACTGATTTGGGACGCGACGCGACGGGACGGGACGGACGGACATGGGCAACGCTATATGCCCCCGGCCATAAATGGCGGGGGCATAAAAATCATCGAATTCACTCCGTAGGTAAAAAAGCACATAAGAACTAAATGTCCAATGATGGATAATGGGTAAAAATTAATTTTTTGAAGTCTAATAATATTAAATGAGGAAAAATTAATTTTTAAGTCGAATGATAGATGATGGGTAAAAATTCAAATCGTAAGTGGATTTTGTCGCTTTTACAAAACCAATACTTTTTGACGGAAATGAAGGTTATTGTAATCCACAAATACCTGAGTGAGTATAGACATCGACAGAATAAAAAACATGATTTCTGTCATCTCGTTAGGTTTGATCAAACAAATCACACGAATCCATTCAATAAGACATATAAAATATTTATTATATATCATAAATCAGGCAAAGTATTAGAAAAGGAATGTTCACGGATACATATGAGATTCACCTGTCAAAACATTGAAACTTCCATCAAGCTTTAGCATCAGTAACAGCTAAGCGTGAACAACATCTTACTTTTTATTTTCAAAATCAACAATGACAACGAAATCAATGGCCAGAGTATGTACACATTAGATAAAGATACAGAATGATATCAAACCATGTTACAAACTTTTAAAGTTATCTCCCCCTGCCCATTCCTTACATCCAGAATAACGAAAAATTCGAATATTAACCTGAACTAAAAAATCCAAATACAAGTAACGAAACATTTTAAAGATAAAATCGTTCTGAATTAGAACAAAATATATGAAACTACAAATGTAGTATAAATCAATATTTTCTTGTCAAAATGATCATTTCATTAACAGTAAACTGAAACATTTCATTATCAGAAGTGTATAATGATATTACATGTAGCATTATCTAGAGTAACACTTCAACAACCAAGATCAAAATGGTACGCTACGGGCTCTGGAATCAGCCAACCATGAAATAAACATCACAACTAACAGGAATTTTCCTTAATCAAATAGTCCATTTAGTCATCCTAAAAGAAACTATCCTGGAATGAATGTGATATAAACAGTAATCCTGAAGTGAAATGAACATTACATGGACATGAGCCACTTCAGAATGACAATTACATTAACAGGTGACATCTAAGAATGAAATTTTACAGTAACAGGAGCCAATTCAGAATGAATATTACATTTAAAGGTGTTACCCAAGAATGAACATTACATTAAAAGGTGTTACCCAAGAATAAACATTACATTAAAAGGTGTTACCCAAGAATGAACATTACATTACCAGTGACCATCTCAGAATGAACATTACATTAAAAGGAGCCACCTCAGAATGAACATTACATTAAAAGGGACCGCCTGAGAATGAACATTACATTAAAAGAAGTTACCCAAAAATGAACATTACATTAACAGGAACCATCTTACCATGACATCACATTAACAGGAACCACCTTTGAATGAACATCACATATATAGGCAACATAACAGAAAAGTCATTACATCAGCAGAAAAAATCCAAAATTTACATTTAGATTTGAAGAACATCTAGTGATTAATTTTAACAAAAGAAAAGCATTGAAATGATCCCTTTAATATAACGTAAATTAACGTAAATGATGAAGTGATAGGACGAAGAAAGTGTGAGAAATAGATTATTGCACCTGCCAATTTATTGGGAGTTTTATCCTATTTTACCTTCCATCACTGAGCCCTAAATAACACATCAACTTGTCTAGTTTGAATGGAAAATGTCCACTCTTTCATATCAATAAAGACCCCGTCAGAACACTAATTGTCGTCTGTGAGACATACCTTGCATGGGAGGAGTTGCAAAGAAGGAAAACCTGTAACTAACTATAATTCAAAAATCCTAAATGAGGATTCCAAATTAAACAGTTTTCAATTCCCTGAACACACAATTGTGTAAAAAAGCAAGCAACATTGGAGGAGAGTGAACATGTTTAGGAGGACTAAGAATCAAACCCTGAACATGCATATATTACCAAATGGATTAAAAGTGAATTGATTTTTTCAATAAATTATCAAAAAAATTTGAATCATCACTGTGACCCTTCCACCTCATATACATACAAAAAAAAATTAAAAATTAAAAAAAAAAAAAAAAAAAAATTGAATCAAATTAAGTCCAAATCATCAGACAATTATTTAATTTTTTTCTGATAAAATATGTTTAATTTTACTGTGAAACTAGATTACAAAATACATGTACGTAAAAACTTTCATCAGATCAAAAATTGATTATCTCTGAAAGACAACCAGGAAACGGAACATCAGTAGTTTTTTCCCAA